TCTGGGCAGCCCGATCTACTTAGCTTTGATCAGCTTCTCCAGTTTCCTAATTCTAAAAGAATTCATAGGGCACAGGCCTGTGTCGAAATATGTTTTATTCAGGGCAAAACATTGAGAATCAATCGTGGTTTTATAGACCTCATTTGCACATATTTGAAGGAGGACATTCCTGGGCCATCAACCTCTTCCCGCCCCCCCCCCCCCCCCCCCCCCCCCCCCCCCCCGAGTCCTTGGCTGGCAGACACCTGGATGCGGGAATTGGCCAGTCTTCACACTGTCCTGCTCAACACTGAGCACGCCTGGGCTTGGGAGAGAAGGAACAGTCCGGTAGTCCTATGCTCTCTAATCATTAGAGTCTATCCCGCGGGCAGGGCGAGGGGCGGGGCAAGGCTGAGGCTCCTCCGGCCCCCACCTGGTCTCTGGCTCTCACCTACCTGTCAGTTATTGCGCTGGCTATTCAGGTCAGTCATGGAGCGCGGTGGGTGGGTGGGGAATGCCAGGATGGGAACATGGAGTTGCCATGAAGATTACAGGTAGGAGAGGAGGGTGGAGGCTTGTCCAGGACCCTGGGCAAAGATGGAGCACTTGCTCCTTCTATTCCCAATGCCCTTCAGTTTGGTTGCTTGTGAGGCAAAAACAGGAAGCCTCTCCAATCCGGGGACAGCCAGGCCCTGGGGTCTGAGACACAGCAGCTCTCTTGAAATGAAATGAGCTGGCCCGGCAACAGGTCTCCGGGAACGGCCTAAAGGCGCTCGCCACACTTCAGCCCTGGGTCAGCATTTCTGAGGGGTCCGGCTTCACAGGCTGGCACGGGAAGCTTGCTCAGAGGACAGAAGTGACAAGGCAGGGTGTGTCCCCAGCTGGCCTCCACATCAGCATCTAGACCTGCATCGGGAAGTGCATGGAGTCCACATGCAGCATTGCCCGCGGGACTAAATCTTGCTCTGAGGACTCTTAGAGGCTGGAAGATGCCACGGGAAAAGCCCTTGCAGGAGAGTCACCTCAATTCGGAATTCCTATGGATAAGGGGGGAACTACAACCCCCACTTTAGAGGGCCTTTCTCGCTTCCATCCTACCAGTTCACCCCACAGTACCTGGCCTGGGGCAGATTCCCGAAGTGCACACAGAAACTTGTGCTCTAGACCTGCATCGGGAAGTGCATGGAGTCCACATGCAGCATTGCCCGCGGGACTAAATCTTGCTCTGAGGACTCTTAGAGGCTGGAAGATGCCACGGGAAAAGCCCTTGCAGGAAAGTCACCTCAATTCGGAATTCCTATGGATAAGGGGGGAACTACAACCCCCACTTTAGGGGGCCTTGCTCGCTTCCATCCTACCAATTCACCCCCACAGTACCTGGCCTGGGGCAGATTCCCGAACTGCACACAGAAACGTGTGTGAGTGGGCTCCATCTTGGCCGTGTAACACACTGCCCAAGGTCCTGCCCATTTCCACGGGTTCAAGGCAGAAAGTGAGAGCAGAATTCCTGGTACAAAGGCTAAGTGCTAAGGGTGGGGAGACAGGAAGGGAGAGTCAGAATCCTGGGAACCAGGGGTCAGCCATCTAGTGAGCCTTTCAGATACTAGCGTTGCAGGGGCTCTCAGCACCTTTAAGGAGGGGGGAGTGCGCAGACGGCTGGCTGAGGGTCAGACCACCTAGACTTGCAGCAGAGCAGGGACCCCAGCTGGGGCCGGCAGCAAGGCCAGCAAGGAGCCTGAACAAGCAAGGCAGGGGCAAAGAAGCCCTACCCCCCGGCCCCCGCAGTGGTTAGGTAGGCAGGACCGGACACACCATCTCCAGCCAGAGAAGCAGCCGAGGAGCCTGCTGAAGGAAGCTGCCCTGGAAGGAAAGTGTTTTACTTTGGGGAAGAAGGGCAGATGGGCAAGAGCACACAGGAACCTCACAGTGCGGGTGCCCTTCTGTGCCTGGAGTGGGTGCACAAAGTTCCTGGGGGACCTTACAGCCAGGCCCTGAGCCCCAGGCCTGGGTGCATCTTTCACAAGCACCCCAAGGAGTCCCAGGCTGAATCCCCAGAGCAATGTTGGGAAGAATGGACTAGACCGTCATGCTGATGGCACATCTTAGGAGCACCTCTTCCCACAGTAAAGACATGGGTGACGGGACAGAGGATGACAACGAAGGCTGAAAGCAGCCGAGTCCCCTCTGTGCAGTCCGAGGGCTGTCTTGCAGGTAGGTGGATGCACTGTCATGTGCCAGTTCTGGGTCAGGCTGGGGACCAGCAGGCACATGGACTCTCTGCTACTTAATGGAAGGGGAAACTGAGGCACAGCAAAGAGGAATGATTAATCATGGCTGAACTACTGCCTGTAGTAGAGCAGGGACCGGATCCCAGCCTCCTGAGGGCAACGTGGTCCAGTTTGCTGCTTAGGAAGGCTCTCCAGCATGATGCAGGTCAAACACAAGGGCCGCAACTGTGGGACTGGGTGGGACGCACGGGCTTGGCTCGCTCCAGGGAGATGCTTCTCTCGACTGGCCTGGAGCCGCAGGAGAAGCTCTCTGGAGCGCTCTGTGCAAAGGGCTTTGCTTGTCTCACCCTAAAGGACGGTCCTAGGAGGAGGTAGAGAGATTCTCTGATGAGAGTTTCTCATTTTGAAATCAGGCTGTACCTGCTTGTTAGAGTCAGGGGGTGACATCCCAGAGCCAGGCCAGCTGAGCCTGGAGCCTGGTCATCCTCTGC